GGGGCGCAACCCCGAATAACACCTGTCGTGTCCTGCTCGGTACCCCCAGTGTTGGTCCAGTGCATCTATCAAGTGGCCCGTTTAAGGGGTACAAGTTCTACCCGGCAGTGCAACTGTCAGTTTCGACGATATCCAACTCGAGGTTCAGCAGTCTGAAGGCAGACGCGGTGACTCTGCGCAATTATATTGAAAGTAGACTCGTGCAGAATCTACCCCACTCCCACACCTGTACCCGGTGTCAAGACAAAGGTCGAGAAGACCGGAGATGGGGGAGGGCGCAGGCGGCTGGCGCGGCCAACAATCCAATTCGCGTCACAGCAACACCTTGCCAGGTAGGCTCCCACGTACGCGGGAGACAAGTTCTACCCAATAGTAGAGGAGATAACATGAAACACTTTTGATGCCTAGTATTATAACATCGTATTTTGCACTTTTCGCTTATATTTGGTCGTCCATTATTCCTGTTTATCTGGTTCTAATGGCTACGAAGGAAACATACAGCGTTAACGCGTAATTGATACCGTCTAGACCCTACCCGACCCTGAGGTGAGAAAGTAAGTTCAAGGTAAAGTATCGTCTTTAATGGAATAAAAATGTGTTCACATTTTAAAAAAGGCGAAAGCAATGCAGCAAACTAGTCGGACTGAGAATAAATGAGGCTAACTTCTGCAAATGGAACATAAGCAGCACCAAAAAAGTAATTGCAATGAATCGCACTGAATGAGGTCAGAAAGTATTTCACGGATGCGCAATGAAACTAAAAGCAAAAAGGATTGCTTAACTTGGTTCCTCTCGGGGTTGACGGAGGGGGTGGTCTCTCGCGCGGGGGTTCAACAGCCTGTGGTCACTTCTTCATAGTCCTTCACCAGAGACGAGATGTTTGCGTAGGCATCGACAAATTCCGCCTTCTCCATGCCCTCGCAAAGATACCAATGCAGGAAGGCGCGTTGGCAGTAGAGGAGATGGTACTTTCGCAGCATACGTTCCCAGGCCTGACTGACAGCAGAATTGTTTGCCAGCATGACTACATTACGAGAAGTCTGGGCGATGCCACTCTCAATGCGGCAGACCGGGGGCTCTCGTGCGATGCCCACCTTGAAGCCGGTCGGACACCAGTCAACAAAATCCACACATTTGACTGTCTTCAGCTCCATCACAGCGTAGTACACCTGACCGGGATCCACATCGCCGCGGTACAGCAGGGTACAGGACATGTACTTGCCAAAAGCCGGATCCACCTTTATGAGTTGGTTCGCACGCTCAAACACCTGTCTACTGATGCTGCGTGTGGTCGCCTCATCAAAGTGCTTGCTCTCGTTACAGATACAGGGGGCAAAGTTGATCAGCGGGAAGTGGATACGGGGATAGGGAATGAGGTTGGTTTGTACCACATTGAAATCACCGCCCAGGACGTTCTGAAACCGCACACTTGCCGTGATTGAACTAATAACAACAGAAAGGATTCGGTTCAGTCCGTTGTAGGTTGTATTAGTCGTGGGAAGGTAGCGGGTGCAAATGTCGTAGAGGGCCTCGTTGTCCATCAGCAGGGCCAAATTGTAGTCTTCTATCGAAAAATGTTCACCCAAAACACTGTTGTAGGGCTCCGTGATGGAGGTAGATATTGAAGGTGAGGGGTAGATGGGCACCTCGACTTTAGTGACCTTTCGGTAATCACTCATGAGGTCTAACATAGCTGCACTTAGACCGGCTCCCGTGCCTCCACCAAGGCTCTTGAAGAAGAGGATGCCCTGGACAAAGTCACAGGCCTCCATTGTGCGTCTAAACTCATCGAAAAGTCTTCCAAGTATCTGCTTTCCCGCGGTGAAGAAACCTCTGGCAAAGTTGTTTGAGGCATCCTCGTATCCTGTGATCAACCTGTCTGGGTGGAAGAGTTTACGCCATGGTCCTACCCTCACTTCATCTGATAAGAAATAATAAGAAAAGTAGCTTTACCGAAACTGTGTGGGCCTATATGACCTAAATGAGCACTCATATTTAGAGATTCTAGGAGTGCCATTTATAAAATAATACTCCTACATTAATACCATGAAAGAGAAAAGTCTCCCAGAAAAATGGAGCTTTGTTCACAAAATTTCAAGTTAGTTACACCAAGGAGGAGAGCACGAATAGCGTTTTGTCAGCACTGGACAGGGAGATATGAGCCCTACGAATGAGCATGTCCCTACGTACACGACTCATGAGACTCCTGAG